CCCTACTTTCCTTGTTTCAAGGTACAAACGCAAACAAACGTTCTTAGTTACTGGCATTGCTCACACCGTAATGCAACAGTGATCATAGTCCTACAACATGCATGACTGTATTCACTGTATTCTGCATGCCTGGGTAAGCTCATGCAATCTAATACAGTCGTTCTGCTATAAAACCTACTTTTATGATGCCTATAATGTTTTTTGACACTGTCATAAAGATGTTTAGCATTAATGTCATAGTTCGTGATGATGCTGTATGTCTCATAAATATGAGAGGGGAACCCCAAACGTTGTAAACCTCTCAATATAAAGACATCCATAAAAGGACGATCAACGTTGTCTTTACTCGTGGAAGAACCAGCCCACCACGACCAGCAGGACGTCCCCTTTTCTGTCAAACAGCACGCCTTTAATTTGAAAAAAACATGCTCTGAGCTTCCCCCGTCTGAGGTGGAGCGCACGCCTCTCCTCGGGGGTCGACCACACGTGTTCTGGCTGCACAGCGGGCACTCGGTTCGACTAAGGTTGCGTTTGTGTGAGTCGGGCTCGTGCAGTTTACGTTTGATAAGGCCGGATCTGCAGGCTCGTCTGGTTGGAAGTCATCCTGATTGGATCTTGACAAGCTCGCTCTCGACTTTCCACTCAGAGCAGAGGTTGTTTTCATTTTGGCTCATAAAATAATCCGTTCCAACTTTCAACATTACATTTCCTATTGCCATATTGTCACACGCACTGCTATTGTGTAGAAATTAGCCCCCTTTCCATGTGATAACAAACTCCTCTCACTGAACATAAACACTCGGGCTGAATTTCGGTGACCTTGTCTGCATGCCGCGAAAGCCTCTCTCCTCTTATCATAGCATGTAGGAGTCGCACGGGCCTGTTGTTTCTGCTCCGCCTCTGCAATGATGAGGTTAACTAGGAGGCAGATGAGAGAACCACCTGAAGTGACCGGGCAGGGGAGCTGGAAGGAGCGTTATTTCCTCAGCAGAGGGGAGATAAGGGGATGAGTTTTTCCTCTGTCAGTACCAGTGCCAGCGATAGCAGAGGTCTTCTGGTTTGGCCAAGCTTGATAAGCTCAGCCTTGCCATCCTGTGGGGCTTATCAACGGCAGCAGCAAGCCTCAACAGTTGGTCCCAGGGCCAGAAAATGTTTACGACTTTGGCGTCAGTTTGTCTTCTTGCACAGCAGATTGTGTAATATGGGAAAAATAATTGCTATTTACATGTTTGTTGAAGCTGTTGTAGATTTTATACAAATGTGACCTGGAGAATCCTGCAGGTTTCTGCAGCAAAGGTTGATCCATTCTTTGTGGTCACTTCACAAACTCACTCTGGGCGGGTGAACATCAGATATGTCAACACAACTTACTGCAACTTCAACAGACATATTCCTGCATGTCTGCTGAGGGAGAGTCATGCAGTGGAGGGGTTACATTTTCTTTTATTGAAGCAGTTTCAGAAAAGAAGGAGATAAAAGTGTGAAAAAAAAATGAAAAGAGAACGCGATAACGAGAGGAAAGAGGGAGGAAAATAAGTTGGCGGAAGCACAGAAAAGACATTTCCATAGGCAGGAAGACTTGGAGGGATCAGTTACATCTGTCTGCCCAGACTGAAGACAGTTCATTTAGTCTGAGCTGTTATCTCGCTGCATCACAGTCCCTTTGGACCAGAAACAGGATGCCGACTGAAAAAAAAAAAAGAGCTCAGTCCATTTAGAGCTGACCAAAGATCTCAGGGCTCAGTGAAGCAAACTGTATTTGATTTACTTTGTTCAACTGACTTGAAAACCACGATTAAATACTCCACCACGCCGACTGAAACCAGTCTCAGAAAGTAATCGTCAGGTTTGCTCTAAATTGCCTGGAAAAACAAACGGGAGGGTTTTAGTGCGCCGGAACGAATCCACAAGCGTCTGTATGTCACTTGTAACTGACTAAATCATCAAGCGCTCATTGTTTATCACTTATTCACGTCTCTTTCCTGATATAAACACATATCTAAATGTAGACAAATGTGTATATATTAAAGTAAAAAAATGTAGATTTAAAGTGGAAACATGCTCATTATATAAGACAGTGATGCAACTCCCACAGAAATCCAATTTTCTATTAAACCACTTAAGAAAATAAAAGCATTTGTTCTGCATAATGAACAAAGTGCAGCAAGCATGGTGGACATTTTACAGCAGCTAAAGCACCTTTTTTGTCCTTACTGTATACCTGTTGTCTGACTTTGGCTGTAGTGTCAAATTCTAATGAAATAGAGCCAAAGCACAGGTGTTGTCTTTAAATAATGTGTCTGGTGAGTCTCTCAAATGATGCTGCGGTTATAAAATCAAGATTTAAGTCAGCTTTGTTGTGATGTGGCTGTATTAAAGTTCGGTAAATGTGAGCTCAGAGAGCAGGAGAGAAGCAAACAGATGGATTTATAGAGAATTTAGTCATTCCTGTCATGTCTGACCTCCGTCCCTGGAGAGAACAGACGAATCAGAGCTCCTTCAGCATCTGGATGTCCACTGCAGCTTTTTAAATGAAGAATGATAAAGGTGTGGGTGTGTACAGTCGACATGCTCGCTCTGCGTACAGTCTGCACAGTCACAAATCTTGGACTGAACAGATTTCCACAGAGGCGTCTGCATCACTCTAGAGCCATCTTTGGCATTACAGAGTTGTCCCTCAGATTTCTACTCAGGATTCTTTAAGTCTATGCCTGAACCTGCACAGTCAGGAGGCAAGGAAGCATTCCTCAGGCAGTTCTGGCTTTACGTGGCTTATGCTGACCATAACGGAAGCTCTCTGATGGATGTTTTACTTTATTTTGACCTGAAAAACTTTTTCTTGCCTCATGATTAATGACGTAGATTTCCTACTATCAGCTAAGTTTGTGCTGTCAACACTCTGCTCCCTCCAACGAGTTTTACAAAAGCCTGAGTGACTGAAACATTCATGGTCCCTCAAGGACCTTTACATAGTAGAACAGCTGCTCCTGGATCGGGGCCTCATAGCTGCTCCGGGCTGCGCTGAAGAATCACCTGTGGGAAGTGAGCTCCTGCTACAATAACAGCTACTAATGAAAGCAGACTGCTGGAGTTGTGCGGCTTCCTTCCTTTCGCTGAGTGCTTTTAGATGCAGCAGCACAACAAAGCTCGCTAACGGGCTCCTCAGCTCAAGCTTTCAACGGACAAACAAGGACGCGTCTGCACCACTGACAACAGATCTGCTCTGTCACATGCCAAAGATCAATTCCATGATAAGGACTTGAAGGAAGGAGGACTGTAGCCACGGCAAACACTCTATTTCTAATCTGTATGTATAGCTGCTGCTATACAGT